CTGTGTATGTATCAGAGGACAACTTGCAGGAGCTGGTTCTCATCTTCCACTGGAAGGGTCCCAGGGATCAAACTCAGGTCATCAGACTTGGTGGCAAGTGCTTTTCCTTGCTGAGCCACTTCACCAGCCCCATCTATCTCTTTTTGATCCTCTCTTTCCCACTTCTTATTCTTAAGCTATGCCAGACCCCAAGGTTCTGCCCTACTGTTACTGTGTGCTACTGTGGAAGGATTCCCCGTTCTACTTAAATAGCTTCACAATAATGGCTTTCTCATCTCCATAGGTCTTTAACTGAGAGATCTCATTATCACCCATGAAAGTACCTACAGCACAGCAATACATCTCTGTCCAACTAACAGCTGACAGGTCTTTGAGCACATTCATGACTGTTTTCCTGGCTTCCTCTGTGTGTGTGTGTGTGTGTGTGTGTGTGTGTGTGTGTGTGTGTGTGTGAGAGAGAGAGAGAGAGAGAGAGAGAGAGACTTACGGCAAGGCCTTATGTTGTTCAAGCAGGCCTTGAGCTTGCAATGAATCTCCTGCCTCAGGCCAGATTTTAGGATAAACAGACATGTACCCTATGCCTGCCTTCCACCTTTCTTATTTCTAACAAACATGTCTGCAGTTCTCCACATTTGAAACTTACAGATCCCATCTTAAAAAAAAATTATTTTGGCCGGAGAAATGACTCAGTGTTAAGAGCACTGGCTGTTCTTCCAAAGGACCCAGATTCAACTCCCAACATGACTGCTCACAATCATTTGTAACTCCAGTCCCAGGGATATTATGTCTTCTTCCAGCATGGCATGCATGTGAGCACAGATATACAGTCAGGCAAACACTAATGCACACACAATATAGTATCTAATTTGTTTTTTTTTAAATTATAGGTATGTGTGTATGTGAGTACAAGAACCTGTGAAGATGAGAGAGGGCACCAGGTGCCCCGGATCTGAAGATACAGGTGCTGAAAGATGACTTTCAGGCCTCTGCAGGAATAGCAAGCAGTCCTAACCACTGAGTCATTCTTCTGGTCTCATCTTAAATATTCCATGACTCCTAATCATTACTTTCCTCAAGGCAACTGTTGCCATTTCCACCATCACCTCACACTCAGCTTACTGTAGCATCTTCCCAGGTTGCAGCAATGCACCCTGCACACAGTTGCTTGTTAATTTTCCAGTTTAAAAAAATGATTTATGCTTTGAAGCTTTTTTTTTTTTGGCCAAATTCATCTAGTTCAAACTCCTTACAAGCTCACACCCTTTCTCCTACTGTCTCCAAGGTAATCTGAGTTTTCCTTGCTGCCTTTCCCTCCCTCACACCTCTCTAGACTTATAACTACCCCTCCTTTTCGCTCCTATCTCTCACTATAGCTCTTTCTGTTTCAATGAAGCCTTCAGCTGATAATCCTATCTCATTAAACTCTCCTTTTCTCTAAATTCTAAAGTCAGCAGTATACTGGCTCTTGAGAGGAAAAAATGAGCAGGGAATCTCTGACCCACAGTGTTTATCAGTAACTCTCACTGCAGCCAACTCTCAAGCTGCCAATATGACATTACCACTTTTGAAGTTGGGGGGATGTGCACAATGCCAGCAGGGCCCAGCCCAGCAGCACTCACAATCTGCTCTGTAATCTAGAGCTTAACGCATGCTATCTGCCCTCCAGCTGCATTTGCGTGCCTTGGTTTATACACTGTAATAAACTAGCCCTTGGAAATGAGCAGTGTGTGGGATGCACAGTATCCCACACACAGTATCAAATAGAAACCTGTTGGCACCACCTAGCGCAATATAAGCCAAAATTGGAGTAGTTACAATGGATGTGATCTCATTTAGGGTTGGTTAGCAAGAACAAATAAAAGAACAATGCAGGAGCAAACTGGAATGGAAATAAAATCAGAGTGGCAGCCGGATATTGGTCATGTCCCAGCTTTGCGCCCATGTGGCCCTTAGCAAGTAAATTCCCTTCCTAAGCCTTCTGTTTCTTCCTCCAGCCAGGGGTGGTGGTGCACACTGGAAACCCCAGTACTTAAGAAGCTCAGGGTTCCAGGGAAGCTGGGCTACATAATGAGACCCTGTCTCAAAAAGCAAAAAGTAGTGGAAGTTCTCTCATCTATTTAAATTAAGGGATTAAGTGACTTCTACAATATTTCTTCAGTGCTCTGGGATACGGGTTAAGAGAGAGAGAGAGAGAGAGAAGAAGCCATGATCTTCTCCAGTGGTAACAGCAATGAGAATAAAGTCATTGTAAAAGCTGACAAGTCAATGGAGCACAGGACAAAACTTTGCTAAGGTATGAAGGACATTCTGGTAAGTCCATTCATTCTTTTGACCCAATCACCCTACTGAAAGATACAACAATGTCTTAGAGCTGGATCCGTGGATAAGAGAGCTTGTTTGTCATGCAAGCATGAGGGCCTGAGTTTGACTCCCCAGTGCCCATGTAAAAAGCCAGGTGTGGCTACTTAGTGCTGTCCCAGCAGCACTGAGTGGTGGAGACCAGAGGATCACCTGGGTCTGCAGGCTGCCAGCCTAACTCCAGGTTTAGTGAGGGAATAAAGCAGCTAGAACAGGACACCTTACCTCCTTCTCTGGCCTCCACACAGACACAAAATGTGCTTGGGAACATCTGCATACACCACACATATTTAAATAAACATACAATGTTTCAAAAGTTTTAACAATTTTATTCAGCTTTCCGGAGAAAAGAGATGTGAAAACTCACCTATTTGCTCAATCCAAGATATTTCCATCAAAGCAACATGTACTAACAGATACTGGTAAGTGCTGAGAATTTAGTAAATACAAGATAAAGCTGGTCCCCACAGCAGTGTGGGAGAGACCAGCCATTTAGCCTCCAATTCTTCTATTACTGCTCCTTACAAGAACCCGCACTGCTCTGAGAAATGGATGGAAGCCACAGTCCCTCTCTCTTACTAGTACACAATCATAAACGTCAGAACGTGATTTCAGAGGTTCACTAGACCTCTCATCTGTGATGGTGTCCAAATATTGCAAGTGACAACTTTGATCTGCATCTACAACTACATCCACACAACAATAAACAACTATACTTCTCTCAAGGGATTTGCCAAGATTGCCAATGAAAGCTGTTAAAGCACAGCTCTACTTCATAAAAACGAGGTATCTAAAACTTCATTCACCCAGAAGAGCACCTTATCCTGAAAAATACTCTGGATAAGAAAATAATGCCCAGATTAAATTCTAACTTTGACCACATACTTAGTCAATGTTATTTATTGAAAGTCCATTTGAGTATAAAGTATACTCCCACTTCACAAACATATCAGTGTTTCATGACTTTCAGTTCATATTAAGGAAACCATGTGAGTTCCAGGCCAGCCTGGTTAACACAGTGAGTTCCATGCCAGCTGGGGCTACACAGTGACTATCTCAAAACAAAAAACACACACACACACAAAACAAAACAAAACAAAACAAAACCAACCAAACAAAAAAAGCCCCACCTGGCTGTGAGTTACTTACACATGAACATATCCCAGTAAGCAGCATCGAAAGCATCAAGGAATACAGGTAACACAAAATCACTGCCTCTCTTTGGTGCTCACATTTCTGGTTTATTTAGCTCTGTGACTTAGGTTTAGTTGTAAAGACAGCAGGGAATAATAAGACTCAAGGAGGCTGCTGTGGGAATCAGATAGTGTTATGTGAAAGAACTTAGTAATAAAACAGGTAAAGTAAATCATTGGAAGGTGCTCATAACACAGATCACTTGGAAGCAGTTGCTCACCACATCCTTGGTCTGCTATTAAATGTTTCCCTATCAGAAGTAAAATAAATTGTTGCTAAATTGTGCAGGGAACTTTGTCTTGGTTGAGGGCCCAAAAGCAACGTTCCAAAGCATCAGAAATCTGTGGACACGCTTTAAATAGATTTCCGTGATGTGTGCTTCAGTCTCACATCTAAAAAAGTAACTACTGTCAGACTTTCTTCAAATATTAAGTGGTTTTTGAATAACTTACAGATTGTTGATTCTTTTACCCGTTCTGCTGAAAACTTTATAATACTTAATAAAAATGTACACAAAAGATTTTAGATGAATTAGATTCTAGCTGATACAAATCAAAAGAAGTAATAGAATGAGGGCTCTTTCTTTCTTTAAAGGGTGTAAACAATGCTGTCCCGGAGGAGCATCAGTAAATCTAACCTTTTCATTAGCTATTCCTCAAAAGTATGCAACTATTCTACATTTGCCATTCTTTGAATTGCTTCGATCGCATTTACAATGTACATCTGGTTTGCTTCAACAGAAAAACGTAGGTCTATTCTTTCTTTAAAAATTAAATAACTCTTCAGTAATTTGATGCCATGGAGCAAAGGATCATTATATATCGTGAAAGTTCATAAAGATGATGAAAAGGGTAAGTTACCCACTAAAGGCCCTCAAGATTCAGGCTGCAAGGCCACTGATTTCTCAACTTGGTAATTCCAAGGCTCTCTAAGATTTCCCCAAGGCGGGATACGTTTTCTTTAACCAGACTCCAAAACACCCAAACGCTCCAATATTTTCTAAGAAAACAGGCTACAGAGATTGCATTAAGACATTTTCCCCTAAGAAAAGCAAAGCACCTAATCGCACCATTGTTTAAAGCAACGTACTCCCACCCACATCTTAAGAAAACAGTTACTTGTGTTCTGTGAGATAAACTTTAAGTCCCTCACCTAACGAGGGAGGGACAAGTAGCTGAGGAGGAAGGCTCAACTAGAATAACGGATGGGGAAAACAGGGTGGAAAGCGTACGTTATAGAGATAACTCTGAGCAGGTGCTCGCAGGAGGACGAGAACCAGGTGGAAGCATCAAGGCACCAACTTAAGGCGGGAGTGGGCTGGATGAGACCCAGGGTCTCGGCCGGCCTCCCCACGTCTACCTAGCCGCTGCGGTCCTCCCACGGTTGCAGTAAGTAGGACACCCCTACCGGAGATGCCCCCTCCTGCCGCCCGCAGCCCCGCATCTCACCAGCCGCTAGGCGCAGGCCGCGGAGGCTCCCCATGGCCGCCTGCTCCACCGACGCACAGCACCCCTGGGCGGCCGCGGCGCTGGCGCTCAAAGTCACCGGGTGCCCGCGTGGGAAGGGCGCTGGCGGGGTGGGCGGGGCGGGCGAGCGTGACGCAGCGGGCGTGAGGGACGTGCACGAAGGGTGGAGGACGTGGCCAGGCGCCTAGCCTGCCCGGGCACGGAGACGGAGGGGAAAGGGTGATGCCTGCCAACTGTGAAGTGCTGAGTAGTGTTTTAGGACTGTGCAAGCGAATCACACACGCGGAGGGGCTCGAGGCCCAGGGCCCTAGGGCGCGCTGGCTTCTGGATTGTCCCTGAGGGAAGCCTGTTTCCCACTTAGCTATTAAAAAATGTTTTTAGTCATCCTTATCGCTTGCCCACCCTCACCGTCCCAAACGCCCTTGTTTTTCGATGTTTCTTTGGCATCTCACGTCTTCTTAACAAGTAACCTTATGCTCTAGGCACACAGGGCTAAGAGCCTTGGAGGAAGGCAAGCCCCGCTCTCAGCTCCCGGCTCACACTGCTTGCTATCAGGCAGCACCGCGGACACCTCTGCTCCACGGTGATTGGCCAGCGGCGGGGTCCTCGCCGTCGTCCAATATGGCGGCGCCCAGTGGCGGTGTGAACTGTGAAGAGTTCGCCGAGTTCCAGGTGACAAGGTTTTCCTCACGTGGCAAGCTTGTGCAGCCTTTTCTTCCCAGATCCTGTTGCGTGCTTTGCCCTGGGAGGGAGTATGGACAAATTGTGGGAAAAGCAGGCGGATGAGAGCCTTTTTTTTAGGGGAACCTTGGGAGGTCATGGGGGCTACGGGTGGCCTTGGAAAGCGTGGCTGCTCCGTGCAGGGAGTGCCTGAGGTCCTCTGGCTTATTCGGGAGGGGTAAAGCCGAGCTCGGAAGCTGTTGGTAGGGATTGTAACAGCTGAGCAGTTCCCTGAACTTAGTTCCCAGCCCCTGCCATTCCTCTCCCACGCCTAAATTGAACTTTAGTGGGAGGGAAAGAAGTGGAGGGCCTTGTGTGCTTAATAAAACAAAATATTTGGCATAGTGTCCTGTTTGGTGAGGCAGACTATTTGGAGCTTGGAGGGAGGGTTAATTCTACTATCTATGCTATTGCCTTCTTGAGGGGGGAAAATGTGTCTTTTTATACTAAAAGCATCAAAAACCTAGAACTGTCTACTCACCCAAGAATTCAAGAATAATGATGTAGATCAATTCACAACGAAAGTTACTGGTAACATGTTCTGTTATTAGAGTTGAATTAAAAAAATAACACGACCTTTGGGAATGTATTTTTAGCAAAAGATGATGAAAATTCGTTTCACATGTCATCGTTGACCTAGCTGTAATAATATTAATACTTTGAGTAGCTTGTAGGTACAAAAGATGTAATAAACATCCGAGTTAGAAGTCAAAACACTTGGTTACCCAGAACCGACCTTGACATATCTTTTAACTTACTTGTAAATAGACATTACTTTTTGCTCCCACTTCTTCGCCAATGGGACTGGAGCATACATAAAGATGCTATAATAATGTAAAATGTTAGTATAACATTTAATTTTAGATAAATTTAGTAAAACTATAAGACATGGTTGGCTGGGATTCTCACAAATTATTAATCAAAGCTCACAGTCTTAAGAACTGTTAGGTAATTTTGTATGTAAGTATCCTAACTATGGAAAGACCTGCACTGAATACCAGTGGATAGAAACTAAAAGGCATATGCCTTTTTATGGTAAATATTAGGTAGGATTTTACTCCACAATTATGGAAGAATTGTATTGTGAATGCTCTTGTAACCACCATCTAAATTCTATAGTCAGTGATTTACTATATCTGCTCTGACTATATATGTATTTATCCATCTCTCATCTCTCAATCTATTCACCTTTTAATTTGAGTTTCAAAGTTAGTTGCAAAAGTTGAGTACTTTTAAATAACGATGCATGCATGTTTACTATTTTGGAGGGATATATTTTGCATATGATTAATCTACAGGTATTTATGAATACTTTTGATGTTGACATATTGTGTAAGGCAAACTTTTATCAATGTTGGAATGGATGCCTTTACCTTCTAAACTTTTCTCATGGATAATCCCTGTCCCTGGGCAATACCTGTCCCTTTCTGTCCAGTTCCAACTGGACTATTCTGCTTCTGTTTTCACATAGCTGTGTATTCTAAGCTTAAAAGATTTTAAATTTTAACTTTCTGTATTTTCTCCATTGCAGTACTCCCAGATGATGCCATATTTCCAAAGTAAAATAGAATACAAAAAAAAAAAAAAATTAAAATTGAATGCTTTGAATCTCATTTTAACATACATTGGAAATTTTATTGAGTACTTTTTTAGTCTACTCAAGCTGCCATTACTAAATACTACTGACTAAGTGGCTTAAAGAATAAAAATGTGGTTTCCCAAAGTTTTGGAAGATTGGGGTTGGGGTTAATTTCTGGTGAGGTCTCTTTTCCTGGCTTGCAGATGGATATTTTCTCATCATTGTCTATGTAGTTGGAACAGGGTTCCAAATGTCTCTTCCTTTTTAATAAGGACCCCAGTTTGTGGCATATTAATGTTCCTGCCCTGTTGACCTCCATTTATGTGTCTGTATATTTAGGTATATATTTGACAAGATCTTACTATGTTGTAGAGGTTGGCCCCAATACCCTTGGTTCAGGAATCTAGCCTCAGCCTCTCAAGTAGCTGAAACTACAGGTGTGTGCCAGGTTTTGCCTCCATTTAATGTTTATTCCTAAAAGCCCTCTCTACAAGGACTTGGGGCTTTAGCATGTCCTCCAGGATACACAATTTAGCCACTACTGGGTATGTACCAGCTACCAAGCTTTAGGAGATATCATCGTGGTGGGCAGTGTGAAACTAGGATCTTTAAGTGAGGATTAAAACATGTGGAAGTCACTGGAGCTATGAATAAAATGCCTAAGAGCTCAAAAAGAAATAAGTTGAAGAGGTCACAATTGAGTTGGGCCTTAAGTAATACTGGTTGAATTCTAGGCAGAGGTAATAGCACACAGTACATTTCCTGTACAGTCATGCATTGCTTAATAATGGGGATATGTTTTGAGACATGTTAAGATGATTTTATGTTGTGCATATATGCATGTAATTAAGCGTTCTCTTAGGTCAATCCTTGTCATGGCTTCTTAATACAACTGGGATGCAGTAGACAGGTCTGTGAAGCTGAAATAAGTAGAAGGAGAATAATGATGGAAAGTAGAGCTTAATAAATACACAGACCATTAACAGTCACTTATTACCCTTGTCGATTGTTACACTCTGTACATGATGACATTTGATATGCTTTTGTACTGGGTGTGGTGGCTCACAGCTTTAATCCCAGCAATTAGGAGGCAGAGACTGTGGGACTCGTCATTTTTGTGGCTTTGGGATGTCTCCTTTCATGAATCACTTTTGTGTGCTTCTTTTCTGAATTTAGAATCTAAGCCATGTGTAAATTTCAGGTCACATAACTAAGTTCTAAGATCTAAACATGGCATGTGAATCCTTTCAAGAACCTGATCCTAAAGTGCCTCTAGACAAAATTTTTGGCCTGTACTTTTATCCCAAAATGCTTCTCTCCTCCAGCCCCCTTTCCGTGTCTGTCATGTATTTGAACCCTCTGCCTTGTGACGTTGACTTGTTCCTGAACACATGTCCTTGTCATTTATTCCTGTGCTTCTTCCTCACACCTGTCACTCTGAAGTGCCTTCCTTTCTTTCCAGCTGATACCCAGTCATGTCTCTTGAACAAAATCTACTCGCTATTCCTTTTAAGAATGTTTTATTTCTATCAGGAATATTTATTTGGTTGTGCCTGTTTATTTTAGGTTGACTTTAAACCACCTGGCCTTTTCCCTAAATATCCTGGAGATGACATAAGGGCTCTGATGCTTCTTCCACTGTTAGGAAATGGGCCTGGTGACATTTATAGTCTTTTCTTAGTATTTCTTCTTCTTTGTAATCTTATCTATAAAATTTAACAATACCTTAAATAATTTAATTCTCAAAATATCCTGGAACAGTATGTTATCAATTCAGATATTATCAATTTTTTTTTAAATTTCTCTTCTTTTAAAAGTATTGTTGTGAATACTGTTGTGAATACACGCATGTGTGGAAGTCAGAGGGCAGACTGTGGAGTTGGTTCTCGCCTTCCACCTTTATGTGGATTCCAGAATTGAATTCAGGTTGTCAGGCTTGTGTAACATGCACCTTCACCTGCTTGGCTCTGTGTTCTTAAACTCCCTGTGATGGTAGAGCTGTTCTACTGTCTACATGTAGCTCTCCAGCTTGTTACTATGCTGCTGTAATTGAAGGTTCTAAGATTTATTTTTATTTATATCTGTGTGGGCATTTTGCTAGCATGTAGAGTGCATCAGGTCCCCTTGGAACTGGAGTTACAGTTGTTAGCTGCCATGTGGATGCTGAGGATTGAACCCAAGTCCTCTGGAAGAGTAGTCAGTGCTTTTAGCCACTGAGCCACCTCCAGCCCCCAAAACTGAAGGTTTTAAATTACAAATTTCAGTTGAAATAACCTCATATGCTCATGTCTTCTGGGTCAAAAGCCTGACTGTAGGTCATAGGTTGGTAATCTATGAGTACACAAGAAAAGGGGAAAATAGTCTACTTGCCAGCCCTCATTTTAGATTCTGTTGATAAGATTGCGAAAGCAGTGGGTGGGTTCAGGACCAGCAAAATGGTTCAGCAGGTAAGTGTTTGCCATACATGACAGCGGGAGTTGATTCCCAGAACCTGTGTAAACATGGAGAGAACCAAATCCACTAGTTTCTGACTACATGTTCACCATGACACATGTGCACCCCCAACACTATACTTTTTTTTTAAAGAGGTAGATTCTTTACCCAGTTAATGCAGACAAATCACTCAATTAATGCAGATAGAAATTGTGTATAGGCGTTAATAGCATGTCTACATTGTTTTATTGGGAGGGTTTGTTTAGCATGATTAAGTTATAGCCGGTATTCAAACACAAAAATGGTTAAAGTTCAGCATCAATAAAAGCTCAACAGTGTTAAGCTGCATAATCTTTTGCCTGGATTGCTGTGCCAGTCTTCCAACCAGTCTTCTTACATCTATGCAGTGTACAGTCCACTTTCTAGGCAGAACACAAATTTGATCACATAA